GTGTTAGATTATGATTTCTTTAAATGGCTGAGAAAAGAATTGTGCTGAATAGAATAACTATTTCTGTCTGTGTATCTTTTTTGTAACTTAAGGTTTTGCCTAGAGGGGTTCTCTATGTTTTTGAATCTAGTTACCCTGTAAGATATCTACCATCCTGATTTTACAGGGGGGATTTCTTTATTTCTATTTACTTCTAATTTTTATTAAAAGTCTTCTTGTAAGAAAACTGAATGCTTTTTCATTGTTCTCAGATCCAAGGGTTTGGGTCTGTGGTCACCTATGCAAATTGGTGAGGCTTTTTATCCAACATTTCCCAGGAAAGGGGGGGTGCAAGTGTTGGGAGGATTGTTCATTGTTCTTAAGATCCAAGGGTCTGGGTCTGTAGTCACCTAGGCAAATTGGTGAGGCTTTTTACCAAACCTTGTCCAGGAAGTGGGGTGCAAGGTTTTGGGAAGTATTTTGGGGGGAAGGACGCGTCCAAACAGCTCTTCCCCAGTAACCAGTATTAGTTTGGTGGTGGTAGCGGCCAGTCCAAGGACAACGGGTGGAATATTTTGTACCTTGGGGAAGTTTTGACCTAAGCTGGTAAAGATAAGCTTAGGAGGTTTTTCATGCAGGTCCCCACATCTGTACCCTAGAGTTCAGAGTGGGGGAGGAACCTTGACACTGAGATAGGAAAGTAAGCTGTCAGTTTAAGCTATATTTTTCCTTTCAGGCCAGTGTTGTCCTGGGAAAAGTTTGGGGGTATGCATGTATGATTTTGAACTTAGCTGTAAAGAAGAGTTTGTGATATGTAAACAAGAGTAGGGAAAAAGGCATCTTTGGGAATGGGAATTCTTGGTGTTTGCTTTGGACTTTGCCATATACCCTCTTAACCAAAATAAGAACGGGGCTGGGCAGTGGAATCTCAGAATATGGCATCACTACTAGCAGCAGCTACAAGGGTGAGCAGCTTCAGTGACAGTATAGCTACAGTGGCAAAGAGATCACTTGTTCACTCTCCCCACTCCCCTGGGGATGGAGGTTAACCCACTTGAGCACACCCCTGGACTCAGGGACTTCATTGAGCTCAAGCAACAAACTGTGAGTGAGGTGCAACAGTGGGGAGTGGAATGTTAAAGGGACATTTGTCCACTGAACTATCACAGCACAAGATGGGAAACTGAGGCAAAGTGTTGCCCAAGATACAAGGGGGCAAGTGTTTTACTTATTGTCTGCATATTGCCGAGTCATTGTTTTCCCAGATTAATGCTGGACAACACAGCATTAATGCTCCCCTTAATAAAATTTTCTTTTGTTATACACAGACTCAATGCTTGTAAGTAGGAAAGTAATGCCTATCACAGGTGCCCAGGGGTGGTGTTTAGTTTTCCCAGATTTCTGGGTGGGGGCTTGAGCTGGTTTTGTTTAAAAATTGAATTCATCCTTTCCTGCTACTGCCACCACTTGGCAGAAAGGTTACAACATTATCCACTTAACAAAACAATGGAACATAAGAACGGCCATACTGGGTCAGACTAAAGGTCCATCTAGCCCAGTATCCAGTCTTCCAACAGTAGCCAGTGCCTGGTGCCCCAGAGGGAATGAACAGAACAGATAATCGTCAAGTGATCCATCCATTCCCAACTTCTGGCCATTCTTATAGAAGATGGACAGAAAGTTCTTAACCACAGTGAAGCATAATTAGTCTTGGCAAGAGTCATACAGACGAGTGGGATTTACCATTGGTCTCCAACAATGTGGACTGCTTTGGGTCATTGTCACTTATTCTCACTGGACCATAAGGATGAGTGGGGCACTGGCTTCTTCCTGATTTAGATAAGGCCAAAAGTATAGGTACTGTCCCTGAGTCTTCATGTTCACATTCATTGCCAATCTGGTGTTTCCTTTCTTGGAGTAAGATTACATCATTTTGAATTCTACCAAGTAAGTAGCCTCAGTTCACTGTTTAGGTGGTATGGCAAAAAATAACCCTGTTTTACAACCTGGCTGAGGTTAGGAGAGAGTTTTGCTTCCTCCCACAGAAGAAAAAAATCAATCTGACAAGTAAGGATGGATAGGGATTCGTCCAATGGATAGCCCAGTTTACCGGCACAAAAAGCTAACCCATAGTAATCACCAGTACTCAAGAGCATGTCCTGGGATCACGTATGTCTCTGGAAAGTGGTTTAAATATTGGAAGAGTTGACTATGGTAACCCTCTTTCCAAATGTTGTGAGGACATCCTAATGCTTCTAACAGGATGAGCAAATATGTCCCACGTACTATTGAATAAAGCGGTAGCTTTCCTGCCATTCTGAATGAAACCTGTGTCTATCCACATTTGTAAGCATCTTTTGACAAACTAAGTTTTATAAATGTATATATAAATATACATCCAAAATAGATAGTTCCATAATTAAATTCAGAGATGAAATATTTACATTTTCTCTTACATTATTAAATCTTTTAGCTAAGTCTAGTGCTACAATTTCTAGTCTGTGCTACAATTTCATTTCTTTACAACATTGATAAAAGGCAGCCACGGCTCCTATTACTAATATTTAAACTAATAATGAAATTGTGTTTCCTGTTAATTTTCTAAGAAATGGCTTTAATGACTTTGCCAAGAAGGGCTTATAATAGCAGCAGTGGGGAAAAAATCTGACCAAAATTAATCTTCCTAAAGATTCAAAAGGGTGAATTTGCACTGAAGGTTGAAATGGAACTTTAACCTTTGTCGCTTTTATTTGAAAGAAGCCTATGGGCATGTTAAATATCGGCCAGCCTCTTACATTGTATTGTATCTAATAACTTCTTTTACAATTTTCAGATAAGTAAAGGAGGAAGTAAGGGGTTATTTGAAATGTAGCAATAATATGAAAAGAAGCATCTGTCTCTAAAGTGCTAAATGCTGAAGAGAGAAATATGAAACAGTTATTCCATGGTTTTACAGCTAATGACTTGTTTGGAAACTGGAAATTTCAATTAATATTGAAGCACATAATCAGTGCTCTCCCTTGCAAATCTAATAAATATTTCTGATTTGAATATTTGTCTTAGGTCAGTAACCCCATAAAAGTTACGAACAAACTTGTTCCGTGGCACAGGGATAATAATTTTTATTAGAGAATGTCACAAACTGAAAAATCTGAATACAGATCCAGATTCGGAACCTTCTAAAGTCTATGGGATTTGGAAACAGAGTTCTCTTTAGGGCCCCATTTCTAATTACCAGTTTTCCTATAGTCTTTTTTTTTGCTATGGTGTCACTATTCCCTGACCTTGACTAATAAGAAATATTATGTATTTAGACAACAAAATCTATCTGATAAATCATTCCAGAAATAGGAAGGAAATCATGCGTGAAATGAAGGTTAGAGTTTTCAAAACCACATAATTTAACCAGCAGACTGCTAATCAATGTATAGCATTTTTCATGAGGAAAGAACAATGGGACGCAGTCATATTTATTGTCTAGTCTGATGATTTTGCCAAACATATCACATTCTAGTCAACTTTATGACTCCAGGAAAAAGAAAGTACTCTCCTGAATGGGAAGGCTGTGTTTAAGCTGGAATGCAAAGTCACAGTATCTCAGGTAGATAAGTCAACCAACTTGTCTTTTAAGTTAGATCTAGAAATGTTCTAACTTCGGTGCCTAAAGTCAGGTATAAAAACCCATATTTAGGCACCCACGTTTGACTGCTTTGGTCTCAGTCCATGCAACAGTATCTTCATATTCATCATACGGTGCTATACAACAGCTGGGAAGAATGTAGTCCCATTGGTGGCTATTAAAAGTTTTATTGCTTTATATATTTTATCCCTTGATGACAGAGTTATTAAAGCTTCTAAACGTGGGATGGAAATGTGTATACATGTGGTGAGGGAAGTAACAATAACTATTTGTATTTTAGGAGTTGCTTACAATATCTCATTAAGCTGTGTTGTATAAAATGATACATTGAAGATAAAATAACACAAAATGCTCTTGGTAGCACTGTATGCTGATGATAATGAAAGACAACAATTGCTTTCTGCTCAATAGCTCCTACTGCTCTGCTGTATAGTAAATATGTCAAAAATCAATTTAAGTAGGCTTGTTTCATTTTTTGTTTGGGCTATATTTTTACTTTCTGTGAATGTGGAATCTCATTTCAGCAATATGAGGATAGGTCAGTATCACTGAGTGTGACAGGAATATATTTGGGAATGTAAAAATAGATTTGGATAACTTCACAAATGTTATAATGGATTCAGTTTAGTTTTCTAACTTATCTGTACAATATTTGCTCACCTTTCTCTATAAATGACAGTTAAAATAATAAAATAATAAAATTAATCTCTTTGTTAAGCAACTTAAAAGAAAAAAAGTAGCTCTAAAGGTGTGAAAGAATCCTAAAAATGAGTTGAATAATAATGAATGATAATGATTACTGATGAGTAACAGTGAAGATACGTGAAATATGCCACTGTATATGATCCTTATCTGTCATACCCTTTCCAGAGTTAAGTAAGTTACACCCTGCCCTATCCCTAAGAGTTTGGACCAGATATTTAAACCCCATCTTCCCTTCTTGTACCTGCAATTTAAGGGCCTAACTGATTGTGAATGTAACTGATCTCTTTTAGATGTTTAATTTCAAGATAGGCAGGTGCCACCAGTTATTTAAATATCTAAATAACACCATTTTTTGCCTGCAATTATTTGCACTTGCAAAACTGTGCAGGTGAGCAAAGCAGGTGAAGTTAAGTCTATGTTCAAATTCAGGCCCATTATAGTCCAGGCCCACTTACAAGTTCTAATGAAAATGAAATTATTCATAACTACACATTCAAACATGCAGGCACTACAGTACAATATCAAAGGAAGGCCTGATTCTCAAGGTACTATATCAAAATAAAAGACAATATCAATTATGATAATTACACAGGGAAAAACAGGCTTTCAGTCTCATGCACCATTTTCCATCCTGATTATTTTTACATGTGAAGGAGGCCAGAATAGATTTTCTTACCTGTTGTTGACCTGACAGTTGAGGTGATGTTGGAAGATCCCATAGCAGGGATACATTCATCATCTTGGGAGTAACCTGCCTGAATGGCCCTCAGGTAACTGTGGCTTCTTGTTCGGAAGCATCCAGGGAGGTCAAGGGCATCCATTGCCTGAGCTTCAACTTCACTAAACACTGATTCACACACCGACTCAAATTGCCCATTGACCTCTGCTTCACTCATCTGAATAAATAACAACAATGCATTTGATTTTTGACTTGCTTTGTTTGTGATCATCATGGCTTCAACTTCTGTCAAGTGGACACCTGTGCGTTGATGAAGAACTGTTTAGCAAATAATTAAAGATTAGGAAACCCTTCTGAACACATTCACATTTTAGCACTTTACATTAGCCATATATAGTATGTTTTAGATGACCATCGTTAGTTTCCATTTGGTTTATTTATATTTAATAAATATGAAGAACACTAACAGATACATCCAACAATCCAAATTTCTATACACTGATTAGGAAATCTATCCACTATCACAACTGGAGAGACCAGACCCATTCAATACCATTTAATTATATCTGGTCTTTTACCTGAGACATTGAATCAAACGAGTCTGAATTTTCAGACTCTTGAGTTATATTTACCCTAGCCTGCAAGCATAGTGGAGAAGTGGGCTGAATAGTACCTTCTGTGCACAACTCAACAAATTTACTGGCCACATAGCTTTGTGTGTACAGCACCCTTTAAAGGGGATGTTGCAGATTGTTCTTTTCCCCTTGCTATGCGGGAGCTCCAGGAGCTATCTATGTCACCCAGTGCCACAATTTAAGCCCAAAGTGTGCTAACTGACGGAAGAAAAGAATCACTTGCCACTTGCATTGCAACAGAACAGATGCGTCTGCAGCTGTATGAGTTGCCCTCGATTGGGATGGTGAAGTGTCTGTCTGTGATTGAGAGCTAACATCACACTCTGGACCTTTTTTATTAAAAATTGTCAACACAAATCAGTACCTGGTCCATGAGTAATTGGACATGGGCGAGGCCTTATTTTTTTCTCTAGAGACAGGATTAGGGACGTAAATGGACCAGCAGGCTGGAAACAGAATGTCTGTATTTAGCTAGGGGCACCAAGGAAATCATTTACCATGGACAAAATAACAATGGATAAGATAAGTTGGGACCATAAAGATGAGGTAAACAGTAAGCTGTACATGGACAGTGCAGGGGGCAGGGATTGGTTTCTATAAAGTACGGTAACTAAGTCAAACCCCAAACACATGTTGGAATGTCTAGTGAATGAAATGTGATGTGTATATGTATATAACGGAAGGGTTTTTTTGTGTGACTTTGGATGTGTGGTACACCCCATATCCACCCCTTACGGTTGAGTCGGATCAACTCACCATAGCTTTGATGCATGCCAAATAAAGGAACCAAACTGACAAGACTGGAGTGAGACTGAATTCATGGGGAACCAAGTGGAAGAGGCCACAGAGGAACCCTAACATAGCGGTGCCGTGACTTGGATACGCTCATCTAGAGCTGGTAACATATATACCCTTATACCCTTAGTATGAGGGTCGCAACCTAGCATTAAGAGAAATGGCATTGGTAGGGTTTAAGGGTTTAAATATGAGGAAGTTAGCATCATGCTGGAGAAGTGGATTAAATCTAAGGGAGGACCCTATAGAGAAAGATTAGAGGGAGACTGGATCCAGGTGAAAAAGGAACTCCAGGGAGTCGTATTCAATTTTTTTTAAAAAAGAATATTTGGCAAAGCACAGCAGAGGTCTATTGAATGTCACTGACATTTTCAAAAAATAGGATCCATTGGCAGCCATAAAAATAGCATCTAGTTTGTTTGTTTTTATATTAATGTAAAGAAAGCCCAGATCAAAGCAGCAGCTTTACAAGGATTATTTCTAGTGGCTAAAACATTACAAACAAAATGTACTACTTTGAAAAATGAATGCTAAAAGCATAAAAAGCAAATGAAAGTTGTAAGAGGAGGAAAGAAACTAAATGGAAAAGATTCCTTAAAAAGTTAAAAAAAAAATCCAAAGTAAAAAGCAGCCATTCAATTTAGAGAGTACAGTTGTGCAGGCAAAGTATACTAACTTAAGAAATAAGAGCAAAAGTCATAAAAAATAAGCTTAGACCACTGAGGAAAAGTCAGCTGAGAAATGTGTTATTCTAGGAAATAAAATAGAAGAGTTATAGTCCCAGAATTTGGCAGCTAGTAAGGTCTAGGGAAATGTCTTATTAAACAGTGAAAAACTGAAGTGACTACTTTAAAAAAAAGTACATGCAGCTAAATTTTTGCACAGATTAACACTGGAGATCTTGGAGGGGAATAAATAGTCAGGGGCAGTAAAAGTAAAAGTGTTAAAAAGGACTTTAGTGTATACAATGTTAAAAGGGACTTTAAAGTGTTAAGAAAAAGAAAGAAAGAAAAAAGAATACTTGGTTTAATAATGAAACCCAGTTATGGCAATATAACTCAGTGCAGTCATGCCTAGTGAAATTCTTAGTAATCAAATTATGCAAAGGAAGGTCAAGTAGTGACAACTACCACCACTATGCTTTTCTCTCCAACATGACTTACGGCCACTCTAAAAAAAGGGGGTGGGGCACTTTGTGTCTGTAATAAATTAATTGTGCTGGCTGCTGCAGGTATAGGGACAATCTGATTTAAATTGTCTGACTATGGATGAGTTAGTTAAAATCACTGAAGAAATTAGGGATTTCTCTATGGCTTAACTGCTTCTGAATGTAGTAGGGGAAATGCAACCTGGGTACAGCAAAGTAGTGGAAATGTAACCTGTGTAAAAATATAATTTAAAGCAATGCAAGGGGCATTGATCAGCTCAAACAGCAAACTGTGAAAAAAGAAAAAAATGTTTTAAAAAAACTTCCTGTCAAAAAAAGTGAAGTGTAACAGTCAACTTACTAAAACCTCAAGTAGCTAAAATGCCAAGAAAAAAAGAGAAAGAAAAAAGGAAGTAACAACAGTAAAACAAAATGTTGCTAAAATACAGCGGTTTTTGTATTTTAGCTATTTGAGATTTTAGTAAGTTTATGTTACACTCTATATAGTATACATATTGCTGTAATTGCTTTTAAAGAAGTTTGACATTAAGTCAATGTGTTCTAATAATAATATCTTGTGTAATATATGAGGGATACATGCTATACAAAGTAAAAGCAGCCTCGAGTGATATGGATCAAGAAAAACTTGCCCTCTTTTATCACCACATAAAAGTTAAAAATTTGGCACAAGATAGGTAACACCAGTTGGAGAAGGGCACGAAAATTAACTAGGGTCCAATACCATGAAGTTAAATGTAAAACCACTGTAACCCATACAGTGTGGAAGAAATTTATTTTCCCTCCTCAAATACTGTGGAAAGACCATGCAAGATCTGGAAAGCCCCAGACTTGTCCTGCTGTTGGCATCTAGGAGACACTTATGGGTGCAGGTGTACTGGTTTACAGACAGAGTTGTCAGCATGTATGTTCATTCTGGGGGAACAGTCTCTAAATTTCACAGTACAGTTGAGATGCTGGGACACTGGTGAAGTAAAAACTGCTCATGGAGGTAATAAGTATTGTGTGGTGGCTGAAGAAGACCACTCCTGGTACAGACCCAGGAAATGTTATTTTAATTGGCCTATATTTTGTTTCATACCTACATTTCCTGTATTAATAAATGGAAAAGTACCAGTTTTTATAATGTAATTAAAATAAAAGCAAAGTTAAAATTACAGAAGGAGGCTTTAAAGGCAGAGCAAGCCTATAATGTCATGGTAGGATAGACCACCAAACCAGGAAGAAGAAGTGGACGAGGCTTTTTTAAAAAAGAACAATATAATCCAAAATACAGGGTTTGGTGGTGATGGGGAACTTCAACTACCCAGATATCCATTTGGAAAATAATACAGCAAGGCAGATTATCCAGCAAGTTCTTGGAATGCATTGGAAACTATTTTTTCTTTCAGAAGGTAGAGAAAGCAACTAGGAGACAGACTGTTCTAGATTTGATTTTGACAAATAGGGAGGAACTGGTTGAGAATTTGAAAGTGGAAGGCAGCTTGGGTGAAAGTCATCATGAAATGATAGAGTTCATGATTCTAAGGAATAGTAGGAGGGAAAACAGCAGAATAAAGATAATGGATTTCAAGAAGTTAGACTTTAGCAAACTCAGGGTGTTGGTAGGTAAGATACCAAGGGAAGCAAACAGTTCAAGAGAGTTGGCAGTTTTTGAAAGTGATATTATTTAGGGCATAAGAACAAACTATCTCACTATGTAAGAAAGATAAGAAGTATGGCAAGAGACCATGCTGGCTTAGCCAGGAGATCTTCAGTGATCTGAAACTCAAAAAAGAGTCCTACAAAAAGTGGAAACTAGGTCAAATTACAAAGGATGAATATAAAAATCAACACAAGCATGTAGGGACAAAATTAGAAAGGCCAAGGCACAAAATGAGATTAAACTAGCTAGAGACATAAAGAGAAACAAGAAAGCATTCTACAAATACATTAAAAAGCAAGAAGAAAATCAAGGACAGGGTAGGCCCATTACTCAATGAGGGGGAAAGACAATAATAGAAAATATGGAAATGACAGAAGTGCTAAATGCCTTTTGTGTTTCAGTTTTCACCAAAACGGTTAATAGCAATTGGACGTCTAACAAGTGAATGCCAGTGAAAATGAGGTAGGATCTGAGGTTAAAATAAGAAAAGAACAAGTTAAAATTTACTTAGACAAGTTAGATGTCTTCAAGTTGGCAGGGCCTGATGCAATACATTCTAGAATTCTCAGAGATCTGACTGAAGAGATATCTGAGCCATTAGTGATTATTTTTGAAAACTCATGGAAGATGGGAGAGATTCCCGAGGACTAGAAGAGGGCAAATATAGTGCCAATCTATAAAATGGGGAATAAGGACAACCTGGGGAATTACAGGCCAGTCAGCTTACCTTTGAGTACCTGAAAAGATAATGGAGCAAATAATCAAGCAATCAATTTGCAAACACCTAAAAGATAATAAGATGATAAGTAACTGTCAACATGGATTTGTCAAGAACCAATCATGTCAAACCAACCTGATAGCTTTCTTCGACAGGGTAACAAGGCTTGTGGATGTGGGGAAGTGGTAGATGTGGTATACCTTTACTTTAGTAAGGCTTTTGATACTATCTTGCATGACCTTCTCATAAACAAACTAGGGAAATATAGCCTAGATGGAGCTACCTAAAGTTGAGTGCATAGCTGGTTGGAAAAACCATTCCCACAGAGTAGTATCAATGGTTTACAGTCAAGCTGGCAGGGCAGAACGAGTGGGGTTGTTTCAAGGAGGAGGGTGAAAAATTGTATTCCTTAACTTCTGAGGACAGAACAAGCAATGGGCTTAAATTGAAGCAAGAGAGGATTAGGTTGGACATTAGGAAAAACTTCCTCAGCGTGCGGGTAGTTAAGCACTGGAACAAATTGCCTAGGGAGGTTGTGGAATCTCTGTCATTGGGGGGTTTTAAGAACAGGTTAGAAAAACACCTGTCAGGAATTGTCTAGTTGTTACTTAGTCCTTCCTTGAGTGCAAGGTACTGGACTAGATGACCTATTGAGGTAGCTTCCAGTCCTACATTTCTAGGATTCTATGTAGAATTACACTCTAGTGGGCTATACCAGAGGAGGCAAGTTTGCACACCCCAGTTCATACACCGAGCCTATTATTAATGTTGGTTCAAATTACTAAAACTACTGTTGTCATGGGGAAAAGAGTAAGTTGTACATGGACAGTGAGTGGACAGAGCATGGTGTACAGGCAGTGATTCCTACAAAGCAACCTAGCCAATGCCAAAATGAGTGATGCAATGTAAAGTGAATGTATGTATATATAGAAGGGGGGTTTCTGTGTACCATAGGTATACCCTATGCCCACCCCTTATGGTTCAGTCTGATTAACTCAGCGTAGGTTTGCTGTATGCCAAATAAAGAAGTTTAAGTGATGAAACTGGAATTACACTGAATTCTTAGGAAACGCAGTGGAAGAGATCTTGGGGAAACCCCAACAGAAATAATCTGCTCTGTACTGACAGAAACTGTGTAAATACCATGTGTCACAGCCATAAATGGTGTTAACTGGTGTTGCTCTATTAAATATAGTGAATTAGGCTGATTTAAATCAGCTGAGCATCAGTTCCCACATACTGATTTCATTTTTAAACACTCTTTCTAGCCCTATTCACATCATATTTTTCTTTTTTATTATTTTTATTTAGCCAATCACAACATGGACTGAAATATATTAATGTCAAGTGCTTGGTGTTAAAAAAGAGCTTAGTTTTACTATGTCCATTTACTATCTCTTTTTACACTGGACAATTGTTAATTTCACCATGAATTTGTATGATTCATTTCGGAGACATTCTCGGATAATTATTAGGAATGTACTAAATATCAAATTGTAGCATTTGGCTGGATAAGTGGAAATAATATTCGTCCAAAGAGAATTTAGAAGCTGAATAATGGAGAGAGCAGTAAATGACAATAATATGTATTTTATATAATCATTTATTAAAGCAGAATGAAAGAAACAAAATCATATAAATATCTAGTCAACCTCATAACCTCACCAGCCTCCACATCTGGATGATATTGCTTTTTATTATATATTGTGGTCAATAACTCTTATTCATTTTGGGGGGAAAAATCACTGCAAATTTTCCATAGTTTTCATTAATCAAGCATATAGAAATTTCTTACAGAACCTCTGAGCCCCATGAAAGGCTGTTATTCTAATTTTCTAGAAAGGCATCTTGGCAATTAAGTCCACTGTGAAATGAATTATTTTGTCCTTCATAAAATTATCATTTTTATATTTCTAATAAATGAAGTCTGGGAAGGGAAAAGAAAACTTATTCTAAATCATCTTTTGCTTACACGATTGACCAAGAGAGTTATGATAACTTATGCCAAGATTTTCAAAAGTGACTAGTAATTTTTGGAGCCTCCCAATTTGAGATACTTTAACAGTGCTTAATTCAAAGTATTAACATTCATCACTTTGTGAAAATCAGGGTCCTTGAAGGCATCTCAGGTTGGGCACCCACAAATGGAGGCACCCAGAATCACCTGTAACATTTGAAAACCTTGGCCTCAGTCAATAATTACATGATGAAATTCCTTACTACTTTTTTCAAACAAAGTTTGTTGACACTTGCAAAATAATAATTTTAAAATACAAATTGCAAGAGTGAATATATACTTCTTAAATATATAGTCCATCAGTATCCCTCAATTCAGTCCTGAGCAGTAGAGGGTGGGAAGGGAACCCATTGATATAACAGAAATAAAAACACTGAACTGCTATCATATTGATGGAACATGCAGAGTGCGATGTCATAGGAAGGGACCAGGAAATAGCAAAGGCTCAGAACTTGTTAACTGAATGTATTTAGTTTATATTCTGTGTTATTTAATATATATGTTTCTGAGTTGGAAAAGATTGAACAGTGAAATGGCAAAATATGTAGATGACACAAAATTATTTACGTTGGTCAAGACCGAAGGACATACTGAGGAACTTCAGTAGGATCTAATTAAGCAAGATAATTGAGCAAAGGATGGCAAATGAAATTCACTGTGGACAACAGCAAGGTTGCGAATCCTGAAAGAATATGAACCATCATATACACTACTCTAATGAGTTAGGAAAAGGTCCTAATTATTATTAGGGACAGCTCAATGAAAAACACTTTCTCCGTGCATAGTGATTGTCAAATAAGGCAAACAATATTAATGTATATTAAGGAAGAAACAGAATACTACTTAACATAATATCATTATATAAAGTGATGGTATACCTCACTGAATTCTGGTCATCCCATCTCGACAAGGATGAAGCAGAAATGGTAAATGTCCAGACAGGGGCAATGACATTTTTTAAAAGCCTGGACAGACTTCCACATGAAGGGACATTGAAAAGGTTAGGTTTGTTTAATTTAGAGAGGTATGAAGATGAAAAGGTGACGTGAGAGAGGTATACATAATAATGAATGGTCTAGAGAACAGCCTCTGAGCGTTCCTGTTCATGCCCTCTTCCTGTACAAGACAAAGTGGGAACCCAGTGAAACTAAAAGGCAACACTGTATATATTTATATGTAGGGTGGATTTCTTAAAAGGGAAATTCTGATTTTGCAGTTCTTTGGCATAATTTGCAATTTGACTGTCTCTTTTTAATCATACCATCTTCATTCAATATTAAATTACTTGAAGCTTGAATTACTTTGTGACTACTTACATCCTCACTCCTCTAATATTAATCAAGAAAAACAAATTTTCCATTTTTAGTAGCTAGTCCTGTATATGTAAATAGCTCACAGTAAAAGATTTAACAATAGATTCCCACCTGACTAACACAGCTGGCCTGACTGAGTGTGCTCACTGCTCTCATATAGCTCTGATTCCTTGATCGGAACTTTGGGGAATTGTAGTTTGCGGAGGGATCCATGTTGTGGCCCCCAGGCACATCACTTGCAGCTTGAAGGTAGCTCTGACTATAAAAGAAAGGGGAAAAAAGAGGAGGCTATAAAAAAACTCCAGATGGAATCAGTTATGACACTGAAAACAGCAATTGGTATTAGCATCATAAATGCACTCCCTGGGGCCAAATTCTTGATCAACGTAAAAGGAACAGTGCTACTGAAGTCAGGAGAGCTGCATCATTTAATATAAGCAGAGAATTTGGCCTTAAGTTTACTACCAAAATGATTTGAAGCATTCAGCATTTTTACTGTAAATTAATATCACTAATATTCCCCTGGCTACAAATGTTACATTTTACTAAAATAAAATGTGAACATCAATATGAACAACAACTACTGCAGGAATGGAAATGTATCTACAGGGATAAAAATCACTCTTCTCTGTCATCTTGTTTCATCAAGGTGCTGGATTTCAAGATGCCTTATAGGTTAAAAGTATCAATACATTTACAGAAGATCAAAATATCCTGTGGATCAGCTAAAGAACATGATTTGTAATGGCACACAGCACAACTGCATAAATCTCCTGAACCGGTCTTTTTACAACACACCTCTCAAGGTACTTTTCCCTGAGTGTCCAGAGCTTACACCACCACCATCACCTCCTGTGCCAGAGGATGGTCTTGTTTAAAGAGACACTGGCTATGTCTTCCCTGCCAAAAAAGTTTTCTTTTTTCTTTAAACATGATAACTAACCTGCATTAAGTTCTCTTGCTTTCCTAGTGGAGAAAAGACATAAATAGGGTTTACTATGATGTAGCTAAGCAAGGTCAACACTATATTCCCAGCGGCAGCTGACCTGCCCTAGCTACAACACATTAAAAACTACAGAGCCGTGTCTCCAGTAGGATTTTACAGCAGGATACTGTATGTCATTATCTCACTGTAAAGTCATAGGTTTTTAGGCAGCTTGAGTTAAAAGCAGCTGCCCTCAATTCTCCCCTTGCCAATGTCTGCAGTTTTACTACATAGCCTGGTCTGCTATGCCCATTGCTGTAACTGACTTATGGGACTGGGAAGGAATGTTCCCCTCACTGCTGGATTGATCAGGGTGGGATTTTTTGCCTTTCCCACAGCAGCTCACATACCCAGTGGGTAGGTCAGGAGTTTTAATGTTCAAGTTGTCTCATCTTAACAGGTGTCCAGGCAGTTGTTCTGTAGTGGGTCCAGTTCCGTGATAGCTGGCATTGGAAGGGGACTCAGGGAAAGCATCACCTAAGGAAGCTGAGGAATGGGGTTGGGGGTCCCAATGTATGGTACAGCAAAGGGATAACACCCTTTCCTCAGCCCCTTAACCCTCAGATGGGAGGAGGGCCGTGGTTTCCCAGCAACGGGCTGGGATGAGCTGTGGAGGGCTTAGGGTCTGACTCATTTCCACCGAATGACTAAGAAAGGAATCATGCACGGTACAAGCTGTAGTTCCTAGATAATTTAATACATTTGCTGCCCACTTAAACCACATCCCTCACATCTTGTCTTTCCTTCCATGCTTCTGGGACAAAGATGCTCATTGCTCCCTCTCTCTTACACCTCATGCACTAGCATGGGCACTAAAGCAACCTGCACTTGCATTCCAGGCCTGGGACTAGATCTGTGCATATTCACAGGGTGCAGGAAAAAGAGCAGGGAGCCTCCGCATCCATTTACAGCATGCTCAAGCACCATGCACAGTCTAGGCACACTAGGAACAGGGAACTCTAACGCCAACAAGACATGGCAACACTAGACTTCTTTTATCTTGAGTTAATTGGCAATTAATTTGAGGTCGTTAGCGCATTGGTGCCAGTGTGAACACTCCACAAACATTTGATGCAAACTACAGATATTTATTCTTTACCCCAGGTGAAGTAAAGTTCTTTGTCCCAAGTTAGCAGAATCTTATCATCATTATTATTTGTATTATAGTAGCACCTAGGAGCCTCAATCATGGACCAAGACTGTACTGTGCTAGGCACTGTATAAACAAGAACACAAAAATGGAATGCTAGGTTTGTTCTTTACCCATGGCAGATGGGCAATTAATTCATTTGAGGGTTAAAAAAATACCCTAGTACCAACAAACCCCAACAGTGTTAGGAAACTCAAAATGGGCTGCAATATGGTTCCTTTTCCCCTGTGTTGGTATGTCATGGGGACAGCACATACTGCATGCACTCTGTTACAACATATAGCATGTAGCAGCAGCTGCTCTGTGCTCTGACCCAATGCTGCTGGAGGCACGGTCTGCCTCATCATCCAACATACTGTGTTTGCACCACTGTACTTCCTCACCACGCCATTGTAGCAGTGGATTAAAGTCAAAGATTGCCTTTTTGCCAAGGAAAAATCACTTTTCTGATCCCAGTGTCTGCTTCTCAGCAGGCTGCTGAATGCTCTACATATATTATTGCAAATAGTGTTAAAATAAATTAAAATAAAAATCATTTTTTAAAATAAAATGAAATAAGCGTCAAAGTTTGGTTTCTAATTTGTCCTCACTGGAAATGTATTTGTAGATATGGGGTTCAATTAATAAACTTTTTATGTCATTTTCCTGCTGATCAGAATGTGAAATATGATTGACCAATATTATTTATGGACTAAAATTGTGCAACTGTGACAGCCAAAGGTCACAGTTCTACCACTTGATCGAGAAGATAACTGTAATTTATTCTTAGTACCAGAAGATCTTCTATTCTCCTCACAGACCAATAGCAGAGGCCAAGACACTGCTAAATGCTAGAGAAAGTCTAACATTCCATACAGCAGAGCACTATAGTACATATACACACATTCCAGTCATGAGGGTTGCAGCCATTTCCTCTCCTCTTCCCCTGTTGTAGTGGTGGATGTTAATGGAGGAGATTTGGCTACCAGCTCTTTGCCTCTTCAGTTGCTTTCCCAGGCAATGGACAGGCAGCAATCAGCTGGCTTGCGGCGTTTTGGAGGCAGGAGGGAGGAGCGAGGACTTGGCGCACAGGCTCCCCTTGCCTCCTGAATGCGGCAAGCCAGCTGATTGCCCCGGGCAGGAGGGAGGGGGAGGAGCGATGACTCAGTGTGCCTTCCCCCTCCCTCCCCTGCCTCCTGCCCACAGCAATCAGCTGGCTTCTGGCATTTAGAAGGGAGGGAGGGTAGGGAAGGAGGCGGAGCCTGTGCACCAAGTCCTCACTCCTCTCCCCCCCCACCTCCAAAACGCTGCAAGCCAGCTGATTGCCACCGGGGGGGGGGGACGCCAAGGGGGGAGGCGTGCCTAGTCCTTTTGTCTGGCAAAAAAAAATTTCCCTGAAACCTAACCCCCCCATTTACATTAATTCTTATGGGGAAATTGGATTCTCTTAACATTGTTTCACTTAAAGTCACATTTTTCAGGAACATAACTACAACGTTAAGTGAAGAGTTACTGTATTTAGGAATCAGGTCTAATTTTATTTATCCTGAAAAGGAAAAAAAGAGGAGATTTGAGAAAATTATGGAAGACTTAGTGAAATGTAATCTGTCCATCTTTTCCTCCTACCCAATTTTAGAAGAAGAGAAAGGAGATGCTCAAGGAAATTAAAGGGCAGTACTGTATGTTTAGAACCAAAGAAAGGAAGGATTTTTTGTTTTATTGTTTTGACATTTTTAAGGTAGCATAATATCTCGTCAACCTGTGGAATTCATTGAACCAAGGAGTAAACATAAAAACTAGTGTGGCTGAATTTTAAAAGACTGGAATTACTAATAACATCTGCAGTTAGGCAAGATAAGCTAATATCATGGATGATCAAATATCATGCTGTGCCTAGGGATCCATTTCCTCCAGCATTACATATCTAGCTTCGTACTTTACAGCTGAATTTTCAAAAGTAACCGCTGGTTTTCTCTGCTGCCAGAGAAAATAACAATTAGTTTGAACCTTTGTGTCTGCTCTGGTCTATTGCTATATTTATTGCAAAGCTAATTTGAAATCAATAATTTTAATCATTATTTTTAAAGTATGCATTTCTGAGGAGAGCGAGGTGCTAACTTCATATGATTTATAAATGGCTGTATCTCTTCAGACTATCATCACAAAAGGGTCTTCTGTTAAGTTAACAGCAAGCACTTTTATTTTCAGAAATCTGCCTTCCTTTACTTTTTATGTGGCTGTTAAACAGATACAATGGACACAAAATATATTCACATTGGTACAGTCCAATCCTGGGCTTCAGCAGATTTTAGGCAGTGCTACTCACTGGGAACAGGCTGTTTTAACTTAGGGCTGGTCTTCACTATAGGGAGATTGATGCTGCAATCGATGCAGCAGGGGTCAATCTAGTAAAGACCTGCTAAATCAACGGCAGAGCACTCTCCAGTTGACACCAGTACTCCACCTCTCCGAAAAGAGTAAGGGAAGTCGACTGGAGAGCGTCTCCCATTGATGCAGCACAGGGAAGACACAGGGGTAAGTCGACCTAAGCTGTGTCGACTCCAGCTACATTGTTCATATAGCTGGAGTAGCGTAACTTAGGTCGACTTACCCCGGTAGTGAAGACAAGCCCTTGGACACCTCTCTAGAGTTACACTGGGAGTTGGTTCAGCCTCTGGAGCAGCCCAGGGCTAGAAGGGTGCAAACGGTATGTTAAAACCATGTTAGTTGCACTCTCCAGGGCTGTGAGTTCCGTGCTTAGAGGCGAAGCACAGAATCTCACTGTTGAGTTCTTAAAATTCCACCAAGTTTATGAAGGGTGTGTCTGATTTACAGGAACCCAATATCATTCAATGGAATTCACTCTGAGGGCAAAACATGCCCTGTAGGACATAGGTAACTGTAATGTTCCAACACTGTATTTCTGACTTTTTAAAAAAATGTCCAGGATCACCACCGTATTAGTACAAAATCTAAGAATGAATGATAACGTTAAAGAAAATACAACCACCTTTAACTGTCAGTAAGTGAGATGCAGAAGCATTATTCTGTGATAAAAAGGTTACATAAAATTTGTTAAAGACCTGAGGCTTCACACTTAACAAGCAGGTATATTAATATTAGCAGTGTTTCATCAGTCATCATA